ATTTTTCAAATTTATGATTTTAGACATATTAGAAACAATTTGGTTTTACTTTCTTCCTGTTTCATTTTTGTTTGTTTGTTTGTAGGATAGTGAAGTCTTTTGATGTACTAATTTGTATTGTCTCCTGGGAAACTGGGATTGGGTGTGCAATTACAATGTGCTGCCATCTGCTGGTAAGATCATCTGTAGTCAAACTGCAGCTTTTTGGGGCCTGAACAATATTGTCCAGAAATTCTAGAAAGCACTGCTTTAGAATAGGAGAGATATAGGAGATTTGGAAGGGTTTTTTTTCACAAGTACTTCCTTTGACAAAATTTACTGGCAACATGTCACTTTAAAAAGTATTAGAAAATAATGCATTTCTTAGTAATAATTTTTATTGAAATTTAATTATAGGATTTTCAGAATAGTAAGTATTCTGGTCATTTTTTATTCAAATTTAAAATCTTGATAAATGATAAAATAAGATATATTTTTTCCCAGGATTATAGGGGAAAAAGTTACATCATTTATTTTGATTTCCATTTGTGTACAAATTAGAGAAATCACATTGTTTTCAGCTTTTAAAGAAAACATGCTTTTTATAAAAGATATTGTGTTGTGTACTATTTTGAGTGGGGATAGACTATCAATGGTATTTGGACATTTAGTAGGAATACCAGGTCAATAAGACATGTTGAATAGAATAAACTAGGTTCTATCCATGACTAAAAACATGTTTGAAGTAAAATTGAACCTCACTTAGGTGAACTTATTATTTCCTCCCATAGTACACCTGTTTAGGGCTGACTGACTAATCCTTTAAGAAGCTGCTGAACTTCCTCCAAGCTGAAAACCTAATTCTGTTTTAAAAATAGATGTATGTAATCTTATCTTCATATGCGTATTTTACGTGTTTAACAAAAAGGATAATTATTTTTGTAAACCAACGATTTCTTAGGCCCAAACTCCAATTGAGGCTTTGTCTTTTTTTTTTTTAAGGAATCCTGGGAAAATAGTCCATAGGAGTACAGGGTTTGTGGGAAGAGGGATTGGTTTTTGTTTTAACTTTTTTAGATTTCAGTATGGTGTTACTATCTCAGATATGTAAGAATAGTAACTATTCTCTTCTGAACTACAATAATAGCTGTCGATGTAGTAGGATCGTAGTGTAGCATCCTACCCTGTTAGGTAGAGTCCTATCAGAGGGTTTTATCATGGAATTCCTCAGCTTGTCTGAGGAAGCTTGGACTAATCACTTCACCAAACCAGCTAACAAAAATGAAATGAATTATATTGAAAATACATGTCAAAGCGAAATGAACATTATAAGTGTTTTTCAAGCTTCTAATTAATGTTCTGTTATATAAATACTTTATTTTCTTTGAACTCAACTGTTAAACTCAGCATTCAGAAACAATTTTTTGTTTAAATGCTGATGAATAAAGAAAAAAGAGTAATCGTAGGGCGTGGTCCTTTTGATAGACTGTCCATATTTTTCTTCACTGTGGTGTATTTGTTCTTCACTTTTCTTCCACACTTTCCCATAGCAAAGAAGTTAATAGTGCGGATTTCTCAAGCCAGACTGGCTGTTTCTACCATTGCTAGCTTGGGCAGGTTACTCCTTTGTGTCTCCCTTTCTTCATCTGTGAAATAATATCTACCTCACAGGTTTGCGGTGAAGATTCAATGAGGAAATAACTTGCAAATCACTTAGAATACTGTCCGGCGTTTAAGAGGCATCCAAAACCCCCAAATGTTTGCTCATACTTATTCTGCGGGGCCCTCCCCTTTTCTGTTACTGACATCTCTCCCCTCAACCTCCGTGCTCCCAACTCTTGTGTTTCTCTTTATGATTAGGTCAACCAATATTAATACCTTACTCCTTGCTATTGCCTAATCAAATGTTACCCTATTTTAGTCATTTCTTAATGTAAGAGTTGCTTCTCCACGTGGTTTTTAAAGAATACTTTCAACTTCTGTGTCTTGATTAAGTAGACAGATTTTTAAATTTCCTTCCCAGGGCAGTTTCCATTAAATGAGTTTTATTAGTTATGTTTAAAATAAAGGAGAAAAGAATATCTACTTAGTTAATGTAGTGAAACTAAATGATTTGTAATGGTCGAATACCTGCCATCAAGGTATGTCTTCTAGCACTACTTACTGGCTTTGGTGGTGTGTAGGCCAGAACCACTTAACTATGACCGTGGCTCTTATGGATGACCCTGTTACAGCTATTAATTTAAAGTACAACATGGAGTGTCTTGTATTAGGAGGCTATGCTATGTATTGGTGTCAGCAAAATTCATTTACAAATTCTTGCTTATGACCTGTCTCTAAGATGTCTTTAAACACTTCCTTATGCCATTAATAGAAGACATGAGACAAAAGGTGTGACAGGCAGCTGTTTGATCTGGTGAACTTTTTGGTTAAAAACAATGGATATGTGAACTTTCTTGTTGATATTATCTCTAAAACTTTTCCGGTTTATTTTATTGAGCTGATTGTTCTTTTCATGTGAATCTAATTAAGATGTATTCCCTAACTTAATGTATATTTTTTGTTTCCTCTTTGTATTATATATAATATCTTACGGTACTAGTCCTTGCATGAAAGTTTACTTGTGGTTAGGAAAAAATAATTTAGACAGTGAAAAGGATAGTGTCTATCTTTGTTTCACTTGCTTAGTGGGGTTTTTCCCCATCATGAACTCTGTGTTTTTGTAGCTTTTAAAACAAGTACCAGCATTCTCTAAGAAAGAAGCAATATTTTGCATGTTTTATTATATTTATATCTTATATGCTGAGGTGGTTTTTTTTGAGAGAGAAACATATGTTTGGTGAGTTCATATTTCTTGAAATATTACATGATTCTTTATACTGGAATCTAATGAAATAGGACACACCTTTGAAAACCAAAGAGTTAAGGCTATAACAGAGGATAAAAGTGATCAAATGATTAGCCAGGGGCTAATAGAAATTCTGGGAAGAATGACAGATTGTATATTAGAAAGAAATATGATCTCATATTCATTGAAGCTTTTTACAACTAAATATTTAAAAGAAATAATAGAAAATTACTCAAAGAGATGAATGTCTGAAACTTTAGAAATGCATATGGTGTTGGATTAATCCAAGCAAGAAAGACTGATAGGCAGATAATAAATTACATTGTGTAGGAAGTCTGCATTTCTTGTTTTCAAGGTACTTTTGTTTTGTTTTGTTTTGTCTTTTCCTGGCAAGATATATGTAAGTAGCTCTAGGCCAGTTTCAGAAAATTCAGTTCTTGATTTTCATCATCACACCATATGTGTATGATTCTTCAGAATAGATAAAGTATTATAAGCAGAGGCTCTAAATCCTTTAGTAGAGGAAATTAAACCTTCTGTTCTGTGCCAAATTGATAGCATTTTTCCTTATGAGAGTATAGACAATATAGAACAGATTTTCACTTACAATCAATTGTAATGCCCCATAAGGAAAAGACAGTTTGAAGAAATGTATGGTACTTCTGTTGGGGAAAAAGCTATACTTCAACAGCTGTACTTCTGCTGGGGAAAAAGAAATAGTCATAAACTGGAAAATGTGTATATGTACATTTTTATTACAAACAAGTGATTATTTACTTAATTGTTCTAAATTTTACTTTGCCAGAGATACATAGTATTTTATTTTTAAAAATTGAGAGTATATGTTTGTGTGTAAGTATTATATATCTTTGTATAAATTTATACACAAACTAGTATCTATCCTTTTTTCTCCATTAAGTGGTCACAGCACTGTAATAATTGTGGAAAAGTTCAACTACTTTTAAATATGTTGATTGAGAAATACACATTCTTCTTAAACTATTTGAACCTTTTAATCAATTTTCTCCCAGATTTTTGCCATTCAGACTTGGCATTCATTTGTGTTCTTAGTTTTTATAGGTCCAAGGAGAAAGTGAAGTGTTTCCTGAAATATATATATATAAGTAATAAAATTAATCTGCACACAGAGTACACTGTTTATTCTTCATGGACATATTCTTTTTGGCTCTTTTTCAATGTATACTTAATCTCTGGGGGATAGAGAGATTATTACTCTGTTAAACTAAAGTTCTGACTCCAAATCATCTGGGTTTCCTAAGCTTAAACTCAAGTATGTACATATAAATGAGTTCTATTTTCTGTAACCATATTAAAACATTTCCTAGTACGTGATGGAAGGTTTATAGGATTTGTTTTTTGGATTTGTTTTTTTTATAGCTACATCAGAAATAGGATCATTATTAAAAAACTGTAAAAGCTAGTTATTTCTTCTGTCCTGTCAGATAAAATGTGAGAAATAATACTGGTTTCAGGTTTTGATTACATAATAAAGATGAGCCCTGTTAATAAAAAGGAATAAAAGTTGTAAGTTTTGTTACTTTAATATGCTTAATGGTTTTCATTGAATCTTTTGTAATCCGTTTTAGAGGACAATTTAAAATGTAACTTACTATGCATTTTGTTTTTGCTTTATAATAACATTTCCATAATGTGCTTATGTGTTGAGTGGAGAGGAGAGCAGAGAAAGGGAGAGGGAGGGAGTGAGACTTCTTGGAGAGGTCTCTCTAATAAGAAATAATGAAAGTTATTAACTATACTTATTAAACTCCTGTTTCTATATCAGTGGTTGCTAAACTAACCTCTAATGCCTTGAACAGGGGTGATACTTGTAAGATATTTTGCAAAACTTTAAACAAAATTTCTCTTATAAATGGCCTATACTCAAGACCCTTTCTCTTGTTAAACAAAGGATACTTAATGAGCTTACAATTATTCTTCTCTACAAAGTTATTTATTTCCATTCTTGGTATATACTGGGAATGGAGATAAATAACTCCATTTGGAAATATATGTATTTGAGGATAGTGCAATATGAGTTAATCTTCCACGTGTTGTAATAGACCTAATGGATATCTGCGTTTCCGGCTAGATTATTCTTCAATGGTTAACAGTTATAGAATTCTAACAGGAACTCTTTTTATTCTTTTTGCAGCTATGTCATCTTATCTTTTAATTATTAAAACAGAGCTTCCTACTGCTATTTCAGAATTTTTGTCTGGAGACTATAGTGGGTAAGAAAAAATACTTCACATTGTGTCCATTTATTTATTCAATAAATATTTATTAAGTTAATGGGAAGTAAAACAAACATAGGACCTACCATCAAGACACAAATTAGGCAGAGGCAGAGTAGTAACAGAGGTGAAAACACTCAGCTTATGTGTACTGATGCTCCATTATGTACAAAGCACTGTGCTATGAACCCTCTGATGCGCCCAGTGTAATCCTTGCATTCCACAGGGCTGTGATAGGGCTGGACATGTGTATGAGCTAGACCTTGGAGAAGAGTAAAGGAGAAATTTTTGGAGATGTGAAAGATTGGGTGGAGGGTGGAGAAGCCTGAAAGTACTGATAGGAAATGTCTTAAAGGAGGAAGTAGTAATACTGCTGTCACTTCTCAGCTAACCATAGTAATAAAGATAAACCATACTGATAAAATTACAACCGTGCTTGTGTGAGATTCCTATTATAAAGCATGATTTGAAAAAATAAATTATTTTCAGAGACTCGTTTCATTTCTTGTTTTTTAAACAATATTATAAACAATACTAAACCACATTATATCTCCTTTCTCCTTATTTTAAAAACACTGGGTTCTAAAGACTGACTCATCTCTTTTTATGGGGAAAATAACAAATTAATTATACTTTTCACCACAGAGAACAAGAAATTTTGAGAAAAATAAACTTGAAAAGACAATAAATTTTTTTGTCATTAAGTTATTTCACATAATTTCTAAATACCACAAAAAAACCTATCAGACTTTTAGATTTGAATGTTTGGTCGTTTTGCTCCAATATTTGAACTTGCTCTAGATTTCAAGGGCAAGTTTTCAAAATTTAGTTTTTAGCTTTTACAACTTGGCTTCCAAGAAAGAATTCTACTTAGACAACTGCAAATATATATTTATAAGGAAAGTATGTTATACTTTAGATCTGAATATGAACCATCTAAAATGGTTAAAAAAGGTAGGTAGAAGTTCTTAATGATTTTTCATTATTAGAAAATATCATGCTTTTTTATAGTACTTTATAGTCGACAAGGCTTCTACACTCATTATCACATTTGATGCTCCAAGTATCTTGTTTTATCTACAGCTTTAAATAGTTGCTTTTAATTTTTATGCTCCTAGTTTGATAAACAATTCCGATAAGAAATAGCTATGTGAAATTCACTTTTGCACTCATATTGAAGACAACTTCTATTACTCAAAAAATTCTATGTGATAAATTTCTTTTAAAATTTAGAGCTAATATCTTAAGGCAATATGAGATAGAATAAAGAATGTTAGATGAAAAGTAAGGAGGCATGTGTCCTGTCAATTTCATATTCAGTAACCTCAGGAAATTAATTTAACTTCTTTTCACCATATAACTTAATTTTGAGCCTTGGGTTTCTTCACCTGGTGTGATACCAGCATTGCCTTCTTAACCAAAGCCATTGGGATTATCAAATAAAATATTACATGTACATATGCTTTTGTAAGCTTATAGCATAGTGTAAATGTGGAGAATTAAGAAATTCCATAATGAATGTCAATTAGACCTCAATTAAAAAAAGAAAAGAAATTCCAAAAATAATACTAACTTATTTTTTTCTTATTTGCTCTGCTTGCCGGGAAGGTTAGAGTCAAATCTGAAGGTATTGCATAAATTATGTTAATCCTAATAGTTAATACATGTATTTGTTTTTCTTGGTCCTGAATTTGGTGACTTCTATTTACATTTTTAAAAAATTCTTATATGTATTTGTGGAAATAGGAAGGATAAAAAAAAAACATAAAATTTTAGAAATAATAAAGGTAGTATGTGATGGAACTATTAAAACTTAGGTCTTCTTTCTCTAAAAGTGATACTTTTTACCATAGCTTCATTTTAAATCAATCGCCATTTACTTTTTTTTCTGGTTAGTTTAAAAAAATAGTTATCCCATCTCACTCATGTTAGTAGAAAATTGATAAAAATGTCATTTTTACCTGTCATGCATGAATTTTTAAAACTATATACTTAAAAATACTGTGACCAGTTTGTATAATCTCTGTTACGATGTTTTAAAATTACACATTTTTAATAGCTTTATCTTGTTTAAAATGCAATATAATTTGCTTATATTGGTTAGAATATAGATAAATCATTAGTCTTTAAAGCTTAATGCTGTAAAGTAATTAAGAAATTGTATGGTAATTTACTAAACTATGGAAGGCAGTTTATTTCTATATTTTCTAAATAAAGTTACATAGCAATATTTCTTCAATAAGATCAATATCATATTGATATGCTTTTACTTTAGGGTTTTAGTTCCAATGACTTGCACTTAAGATCTTTTAGGTGTGCTAATTTTCTGGGTTGTCTATGAGATTTGATATACCATTGTGAAATATAAACCTTTACAAAGATGTCATCAAAAAGAAACTGTATGTTCATAATATTCTAATTTCAAAAATTACATTTAGAAGTCAGAAATATAATACTTATACCAAACTTTTGTGTGACATCTATATTTTTCATAGAATAACATATTTTAAAAATCTATGGCTTTTAAAATTTGGAAGCTCTCTGTTAACATTTAATGATCTTGTCAGGGGAATATGATTGACACAATTAAGTTGTCTTACATTTGAGTTACAAAATTGATATGAGATGTGAATAAGATCCTAATTCAGAACATATGATACTCTCGTTTCATTCCATTCGTGAATGAAATTAAAGCATCTTATAAATAAATCTGGTTTTCATTAAAATATGGAAAAAAACATCTTGATGCCAAAGCATTTGAAATACAGCTAAGGATTTATACTCTATATTTCATACTTCGAACATTTTTAGCATATAGGATTAAATCCACAGATCAAACAAGTTTTCTAGGAAGTATAAAACTTTTTACCCTAATTCTATTGGCTTAAAGAGAATGTATATTTAGATCACAGTGGGAAAACAAGGGCTCTGTTATTCTTTTTTTCCTCCTTTTAGAAAAAAAATTAAGGTTAGTATATTCTTTTAAAATCTTGATTTATAAAATATATTTATTTAATTTGTACTTTTTGAGATTTCTTTTTACTGGTTTGTATTTCTCAGGCTGGGGTTTTATTTTGTTAGTTTAATCATTTCTGTTCTTTGGAAATTCATTGCCAAACACAAATCATTTGACTGTGACATGCACATAAAATGGAAACTGACTTTACTGTGCATTACTGTGTTTCCTTTAGTGTTGATGAATGGTAAAGAAAGGTACTCTATTTACAATTGGCTTTATTAATATAACTTAATAGGATAAGAAATGATTAATAATAACCAGTAGCCAAGCAGGGATAGAGAAATTATGTTTTGAATACAGTTCTTTTCATATTAGGAACTTAAAGTTCAATCCTGTGAAGAAGAAAGTACATTCTAGAGAAAAATGAGGTGGTATCTGAAAAATACCGTAAACTCTGACTATGCAAGAGAGTATTTCCATTGCTTCTATCTCTAAGGTCACACTTATCCTTTTGCAGATTTTACCAACATATAAAATGAATTTGTTGAATCAGATAATCTGTGAGGTCTCTTCAGCTCTAATGTGCCATAGCTCTGTGATTCTGAGTTGCTAATGGGAGAAGGTAACCTTATCTTCAGACCCACAGTTCAATGTTTTGGGCAGTCATGTGGCCTTCTATGGACCTGAGCAAATTGTGATCTGAAATAGTATAGCATCGTAAAGTATAATATAACAGTGTAAGTTAGAAAGTTCAGGATTTCCAAGTGTGCCCGTTCTTACGCCAGAGAGAGGAGTGAGTCTGGTCCTGGGGGTTAACATGCTGCTCCCTTCGCACACCTCTCTCTACCTTCATGACAGCAGGGGCAGCAGAGCTAACAGATGGAATCTGCTTGGTGCTCCTTGGGGCCCTTTTTCTCCTGGCGCTGCAACTGTCTGGGTCTGATATTGGGTCCCAGAGGGAAGATTTCAGGCATAGAGCACTGGGTTTTTGCCAGTTTAAGAAGTTGAGTTGCTAGGTGTCTCTCGATGAGGGATATTTTGAAGTTCTTGTTCTGATACTTATTTCAGGGCTGGAATGTGAACGTGCCGAGTGTCATTTTGTATTGTTAGTATGTGTACTTTCAGGACCTCCTACGCACCAGGAATTGAGGGGCATACACATATGCAGAGAACACCGTCAGACCTAGAAATACTTGTACATAGGTTTTACTTTCTGGTATATGCATTTTCTAAGACATAAATTGGGGTGGAGAAAGGAAAAGTGATCATGGTGCTATTTCTGCTGCTGTTCCTTCTTCTGTTCTGTCAGAGTGAGTTGTCAAGCACCCAATAGTGCCCATTAAAGATATATTAGAGAGGACTTCCTCATAAACCAGCGTGTAAAAAGAGACACAGTGAATCATAAAGTCCATGTTAGAAGTCAGAGGTTGAGACCATGTAGAGGAAAACCTTTTCTTCCTTCCTTTTCTTTTTTCTTTTCTTTTCTTTTTTCTGTTCTGTTCTGTTCTATTCTGCTCTCCTCTCCTTCCTCTCTCCTCTCCTATTTTCTCTCTCTTTTTATAATTGAGATATAATTGACATGTAACATTGTGTAAGTTTAAGGTATACAGTGTGTTGGTTGGATACACATATATTTGCAGTACGATTACCACAGTGTTAGCTAACACCTCCAATGTGTCACATAATTATTTCTTTTTTGACCAATATCTTCTCGGTTCCCCTGACCCCCAGCTCCTAGTAATCACCATTTTACTCTGTTTCTAAGAGTTAGGGTGTTTTAGATACCACATATAAATGATATACATCTTTTTCTTATCTCACTTTAAGTATAATGCCATCAAGGTCCATCCATGTTGTCACAAATGGCAGGATTTCCTTCCTTCTCCTGGCTAAGTAATATTTCATTATATATATATACATATATATGTATATATATGTACATGTATACACATATAATTTCATTATATATAATATTTCATTATATATAATATTTCCATGTATAGCACATCTTTATCCATTCATCCACTGATAGACACCTAGGTTGTTTCCATATCTTGGCTATTGTGAATAATGCAGCAGTAAACATGGGAGTGCAGATATCTTTTCTATATCCTGTTTTTATTTTCTTTGGATACATGCCCAGAAGTGAGATTGCTCGATCATATGGTAATTCAATTTTTAATTTTTTGAGGAACCTCCATGCTGTTCTCCATAGTGGCTGAACCAGTTCACATTTCCACCAACAGTACACAGGGTTCCTTTTCTCCACGTCCTTGCCAACATTTGTTATTGCTTGTCTTTTTGCTGATACCCATACTAACAGGTGTGAAGTGTTATCTCATTGTGGTTTTGATTTGTATTTCTCTGATGATAGGTGATATTGAGCCTCTTTTCATGTACCTGTCGGCCATTGGTATGTCTTCTTTGGAAAAATGTCTATTCGTTTTCTTTGCCTATTTTTAAAATGGATTTTTTGATTTTTTGCTATCAAGTCGTATTGGTTCTTTATACGTTTTGGATATTAACCCCTCATTAGATAATGTGGTTCGCAAATATTTTCTCTCATTCTATAGATTGCCACTTCATTTGTTGATTGTTTCTTTTTCTGTGCGAGGGTTTTTAGTTTGATGTAATGCCACTTAGAATTGTTTTTGTTGCTTGTGCTTTTGATATCCTTTGCCTGAGGCAGGAAGTGTGATGCCTCCAGCTTTGCTTTCTTTCCACGATTGCTTTAGCTATTCAAGGTCTTTTGTGATTCCTTACAAATTTTAGTATTGTTTGTTCTATTTCTATATTTAAAAAAAGTCATTGTAATCTTGATAGGGATTTCATTGAATCTGTAGATGGCTTTGGTAGTGCAGCTGGATATTTTAACAACGTTAATTCTTCTGATCCATGAACACAAATGGGATATCTTTCCATTTATTTGTGTCTTCTTCAATTTCTTTCATTAAAGTCTTATCATTTTCAGTGTACAAAACTTTTACTTCTCTAGTTAAATTTATTTCTAAGTATTTTGTTGTTTTTGTTGCTATTGGGAATGAGATCGTTTTCTTTTTCAGATATTTCATTGTTAATGCATAGAAACATAATTGATTTCTGTATGTTGATTTTGTATCCTGCAGCTTTACTAAATTTGTAGTTTAGTTCTAACAGTGTTTTGGTTAAGGCTTTAGGATTTTCTGTATATAAGATTATATGATCTGCAAATAAAAACAGATGTGTTTCCTTTCCAATTTGGATGCCCCCTTTTTTTTAACCTTGCCTGATTGCTTTAGCTAGGACTTTCAGAATCATCCTTGCATCCCAGGAATAAATCCCACTTGATCACAGTGTATGATCCCTTTGATGTGCTATTGAATTTGGCTTGCTGATATTTTGTTGAGAATTTTTACATCTATATTTATCAGAGATATTCGTCTGTAGTTTTCTCTTTTTGTAGTGTTCTTATCTGGCTTTAGTACTAGGATATGCTGGCTTTGTAAAATGAGTTTGGAAGTGTTCCTTCCTCTTCTTTTTTTTTTTTTTTTTTGGAGTTTGAAAAGAATTGACATTAATTCTTTAAATGATTGATAGAATTCACTAGTAAAACCATCTGTTCCTGGGCTTTTCTTTTGGGAGGAGGTTTTTGATTACTAATTCAATCTCCTTACTCATTATTGATCTGTTCATATTTTCTATTTCTTTATGATTTAGTGTTGGTATGTTGTGTGTTTCTAGGAATTTATCCATTTTCTTAATTTAACATGGCAGTGGGAGACTTTGGTTACTTGGTAAAGAAAGAGAATGCATTATTTCCAACTAAGAATTCTGAGAACATCTACCAAATTATTTGAAAAAAGTAATCCATATTGTCTTTAATGCTCCCAGCTCCAAAATTAGCGTGAATTCTACTTCGTTATTGTTGTGCCTCTGTATATATGTTTCCATGTAAAAATATGACAGCCATATTATAGAAAATTAAGAAAGCAATAAAAATTATACATAATGCGATCTCTTACCTAATCACTGTTGTCATTTTATTTCCTTTGAATTTTGCCTAAAGAGCTTTATAAGAACATAATTAATAATCTTGTATTTTATGTTTCTATTATTAAGATATTCTATTTTGCTAAGTTGTCTTTTTTAAAGCTGCATAATATTCCACTGGGTGTGCTGTTATTGATCTAAATATTTTCTATTGTCGGAAGAATAGGATTTCCCCCCTACTAAATATTATAATAATGTTATATTCACAGCTTTATGCACATAGAATTCTTTATATTTTAAATTGTTTTCTTAAAGTAAATTACCACATTTTATTGCTCTTGCTACATATTATTAATGTTTTTCCAGAAGGTAGTGCTAGATTGACAAGATCACTAACAACATGTGAAGGACCGGTTTTGCCATATTCTCAAATATTATGTTTACAATACTTTAACTAGTTTAATTTAAATAGCCTCATTGTTTATTTCTTTAATTGGCACCGAAGGTTGGATTTTTCTTCAAGTGTAGGCGTCATTCTTTCATGAATTGTTTGTCCTTTACATACTGACATCTTTACTGTTAAAGTCTTGCGAAATTAACTTTTAAACACTTTTATACAGGTATTTTATATTGAAAAATTGAAATCATATATATACAAACAAGGAGAAAATAAAATTGCTCATATTGCTATCACATAAGAAGTATCCACTTTTGGTATTTTAAGTATATCCTTATTTCTTATATGTGCAGTGAGTTTTTTTTTTTTTTTAAATAATCCAATATATCATTTCACTTTTAACCTACCTTTTCTCATTCAATATTCTAATACCTTTATGTGAAAATTTTAATATTTTTTTTCTTGGTAATCCATGCCCTTTCCTGAAAATTTGAAAAGTGTGGAAAACTATAAAGAAGAAAATTCACCCATCATTCTACCACGCAGAGATAATGGCTATCAGTTTATTGTTGTTTCTTTCCATTTTTAATCAATCTATATTTTTCCTCAAAATTGCTATTATGGTGTATATATTTATGATGTTTACTGAATATTCATATTATTTTACATACAAATCGTTCTTTTTATCATTGTCCCATGGTTTCATAATTTATTTTTAAATTGTCATGGTTTTAGATGTTAGTTTCCAATATTCAATAGATATCTTTCAATAAACATCTTTTCAATAAACATCTTTTTTCCAAAATTTTTATTCTTGTTGCTGATTGTTTTTTTAATAGTCTTTTGTAAGTGTTAAATATTTGAAGGCTCTCAATAGCATTTGTAAAATTGCTTTTTAGAAAGGTAATATTCACAGTTGTTACTTTCACCAGTTTTGTGCACACATCATCACTCCTCACCAGCCTTGACTATTATCTTAGTATTTGCTGATTTGGTAGTTGAAAAATAGCATCTCATTGTTTTGATACATGCTTAAATGTAAATTAATTAATACAAATATTAAGATCCCACAAGAATATATTTTAACAAAAGAAAGTAGGTTTTTTGTAATGGTGTGTGTGTGTACACACATGCTGGAGTCCTGTGCCTAAAACAGAACTATTTTTTTTTCTAATAGGTCTTGGTATCTTGATGGACAAACACTACTAATAATCATTTGTGTTGTCGTTGTGTTCCCTCTTGCACTTCTTCCTAAAATAGGTAAGTCTTTACAGAAGAGGACATTATTAGTTTAACAGAAAGAAAAAAGAAAGAAGGAAAATAATCTTAAGGGGCTTTGAAAGTTCACAGTACCACATTTTTAGCAGAAGGACGGTGGTTATGCGTAATTTTGAACTTGGACTTATTTTAGGTTGTTCAGCCTTCAGCCCTGTCTAGTTAACCTATTACTTGGTTCGCAGTAGTATTTTGTCTGCCCCACTAAAATAAAATCTTTACAGCGGAACATTAAAGAGCAGCCTTTCCTTACAGTATACCATTAGTGGTAAGCCAGTTCCAATTCTGCTGTACAGAGCTACATAAATGATCTGTGACAGATAGTTGGAATGTTGTTATTCTCAGCCCTAAGCCCCAGATACCAAGCACTGTAATAGAAAACATGCCCAAGATGTATAGCTTTAGCTGTACGTTAGGATCATTTTCCTTATAAATTGCTCTTTATTTTACTGTTATTTTACAGGCTTTCTTGGCTACACAAGTAGTTTATCATTTTTCTTTATGGTGTTCTTTGCTCTTGTGGTAAGTTTAAAATATAGTGTGTTGCTTATCTACTCACTAAAATTGAACTCATTGTGTTAATGTCTTTTTTCTTTCAACTCTTGTTTTGTTTCGGGGAGGTATCCCATTTTATTTCAGTGTGTTATTAAAAGCGCTTTTGTTCCACAAAGTTATTTCCTTCATTTTAACTGTTTTGAAGAGGCTTAGCTAGAGCAGCATTTAAATTGGGTATCTCTTGTGGTTAACTAGAGAGAAGAGCACACCAATTTCTATTAAAACCTTAGATGGAGTATAATTTTTTTATATAGGTAGTATACCACATTATTTCTGTGCAGTACTAGTACTGTGTGTGTATACGTGTGCATATGTGTGTATATGTGTACTCAAGCATGAAAATCAGGCTGGTTCTATTCTTTAAAATTGGTTTAATACTAGTCATCTTAATTTTGAAACTTTGTTCCATTAATGAAAGCAGAGCTTTTGTAAGGGTTTAACTGTTGAGAACTAGTAGGAATTGGAGTATTTGAATTCTCTCTGGTCTGCTTTATTCAGTATAGATAAGTGCTTATAAAAAGACTATTGCAAAGAAATATTTTTCTTTACATGTGGAATGTTTTTTCTTATTTTTTAAAAATTAGCTTATTTTTATTATAACAGGAAAATATCAGATGGTAAATTTAATTTATTTGAATTTATTTCCTTTTAATTTTCCAAAACCAGATTTTAACACTGCAGATAGTATCTTAGTGTGAAAATTTGCAAAAAATCATTTTCCTCTTTGTATAGCAGTTTATTCCATAGTGTCTGTCATACCTTATGTAGGACTGAATATTTTAAATTTGCCAAAAGGATACATATCTAAATGGCTTGATTAAACTCTTAAAATTATAAACTTGATTAAACTTTGTTTATAAGAAATAAATAAAAGAAAAATGCCACCCAGAAGAGCAAGGTAATACATCAGTAGTTAAACCATATTATAGAGCCAGATTTCCGTGTTATCAAAACAATCTAGGATATATTTAACTTAGGCTAAACTCTCTTCTGGGATAAAAGGATAAAACGACATTAGATTATTTAAATGAAGTGGAAGTGACACTGATTACAATGTACAGAAATAGTATAATGAGTGTTCTTAAAACTAAAAATACTTAACTGTTTACATTTAATCATTTGTTGAGTTTATCAACATTAAAATCATTGCCTCTCCCTCAAATTGTCTGACTTGTCTCTTACCAATAAGTGAATTGAACATATACTTTCCTTTGGATTTTTTTCTTTCAATTTTATTGGGATGTAATTGACATACAACACTGTGTAAATTTAAGGTGTATAGCGTAATGACTTGACATATATATTATGAAATGATTACCACAATAAGTTTACTTGACATCGATGAATATATATGTTTTAGCCCCCACAATGAAGAGGGGAGCAACAAATATTTTCATCATAATTTGATTGTTATGATGCATTGACATGTTAGAGTGGCCTGTGTATGCAAATGAACATATGGATGTTAAAGAGAATCAGTATAGATAACAGTGAATTTTTTCTTCACAGATAATTGGCAATCCAAGCATTGCATAAGTAGAAATTTGGTTTTTATAGCTAATAGTTTGAAGCAGGTGAAATGTATATACAATATGTCTATTGTATATAGTTTTCACAGTATTCATTTCTGTCATTGCAGATACTCTTTAATTCGATGCAGGTTTCTGCTATAGCAGTCATATGGAAGTAATACCCTTATTCTGCATTTACTGTAATGCTTTACAAACCATCTGCTCAGATTTTTACCTGTGAGCACAATTTAACTTTGGACTACCATGGGACAATGAAGAAACACTGTATACTTTTTTTTTAATGCTCTTTTTAATTGACATATTTATTTTAGAGTTTCCAAGTATTAGGTTTTGAAATAAATAGTGACTGGGGAAGGATGCATGTCTATATTAACCCAGATTTTTTTGACAGATGCCAATTTTTTCATTGATTATTTTTGTCAGTGTTTGTTTGTAAATCTGTATAACATTTGTATTACATTAAAAAAAATTCAGAAAACTATTGTTTTTTAAAATTACACTCTACAAATAATGCAAATCAAAACCTATACTCTTATCTGTTGTCTCAGATACTTACTTTGCATAAAAATTTTTAACATAATTTTTGCCTCCTCTGAAATATCTAAAATTAAAAAAAATAAATTTTATTTTAGCAGTGGCTCAGAATGATGGTAACCAGATGGACTTACCTTTTCTGGTCCATTTTAGAACACAAATGTATTTCCTTTCCTTCCAAAAGTTCTGTCTTGAGTACAGATTAGTATTCTAAGTAATATTTTAATGAGTCAGTAATCAGAATAGAGAACTATTTGAATGGATTTTAGTCAGAAGCTTTCCTTCTACTGAGCACTATCCTAGGCATCATGGAGTTGTGGGAGTTTAACCTGGACATAACTCTTAAGGATCTGTCAATTTAGTATGCGAGATAAGGTGAATTTATTAGGAAAAATTAGAGAACAATATAGGCAATACATAATTAAGTATTGATTACATACATGATTAAGAATTATAAGAGTTGAGAGAAGGATCACAGAGCCAAGTAAACGAAGACTGTGGAAGGAAATAAAACTTGAGCTGAACATTAAAAGTTGGGAAAGACTAGGTGCAGAGAGAATAGAGGGCCTTTGTGCAAATGCACAGTATTTTTAATACTTATTCATCTTTTCCCTTTGTCTTTCTAACCCCTGGAGTTATCTTCTTACCATTCTGTCTTCGCCCTGAGCAAGGACTCCCTGTTACTATTTGTTGTTGGGTATCTTTCCATTCCTGTTCTGTACTTCTGCTTTATAGGACATCATTTCTCTCCACCCCAATCCACCATGTAGGCTTGGGGTCAGAATGTATCTCTGCAGAGAAATTTTAGCTGCAGTAACTGAATTTTATGTTAATATAAAATCAGCTTGCTAATGATATTTTTTAATTAATGAAAAAATGATTTATTGCATTTTGGAGCATTGTTTTAAAATATTTTGAATTGCAAGCCTAGTAATCACAGCTGATAAAATAAATGAGGTAGCTCACATAGCAGCATTATCACAGTACCTGGTACACAAGTGCTCAATAAATGGTTGTTGCTGCCACCACCACTGTTAGGGGAAATGTGAGACACCAAACTTGGAGCAGGGCTGAAGAGAGAGACCAGTAACAGCTTTGCTTCTCCAGCTTCTACCCTACCCCATCCTCATCCTTCTTTTTTTCATTGAAAACAAATTAGAAAATGAAAAAGATGGTGGGATTATTACCGTTTATTTTTTTTGCTTCCTCTCGGTAAGTTGACCATTTGGTTTTATTACATATTGAACGCTTATCTAGAAATGTCAAAGCAGTTTGCCTAGTTTATCCTTATAATTTCCTTTTTCCCCCCTAGATGAGGGTTTTAATTAAGAGTCATTCTTTAGTTCACACATTAACTTAATCCTAAAAGTATATGTTTTCCTTAGATTTGTTTTACCACTATATAAAAATCTTGGTGAATTAGTCTAAATCCCAAACTAGATAAATACCAAATAGGGATAGGAATAGGAACAGTACTTACTTATCGGTCTCCTGCAGAGTACAAATGCTTCCTTTATTCTCCCCTGCCCGTCTTTACCCTGGGTTTCAGCCTGGAGCAAATATTTACAGAGTAATTATGTGCCCTGAAACAACCACAACAATGGCGATGTTGACACAACCACAACTGTAGGTCTAGGAACAAGATGGCCACAATTAAGAGTAAAATCCTGAAACATTTTCATTGATTGTTTCTGGGAAATAGCATCCCCCTGGATTTCTTTTAATTGTTTTTTTTTCTTATTTTATTTTTAACAGCTGGAGTTCCCTAGCTATGTGCCGTTATTCTTATTCACATTCACTGAAAGTAATAGAAGTCTAAAAGCAAGAGGGATAGTAGTTATACATCAGAAATCTGTGCTCACCCCTTGCATAAGGTCTCTATTTATTTCTGCCTGTGGCCATTTCCATTAATATTTCTCTATCTGCTACTGATGCCAGGTCCCCAAATAAGCATACTTTTGTACCATTGTCACTAAAGACATGATGTTTCTTTTTGAGTTGCACTTTTTTTTTAATGCCTTGATGCTATTGGAATTTTGAAAGTTGACATAAGAGTGCTCTCAGTCTTTAATGGGGGGAGATCACCTCTAAACGGATATTCGGTCCCACACTTCACCCTCGTCATAGGTGACCCCAATCTAACTGGGGAAAATCATCTGAGCAAAGAATCTTCTGTTGGCTAGTATTTTATTTGGCCTGGCATTAGATTAATTGAAATAATACTGACCTATTTGAAATCATTTTCTTGCCATGAATTTTATAAGAAATAATCTGAGTGCTGATTCTACTTATTTTTACAGATAATAATTAAAAAGTGGTCCATCCCTTGTCCTCTGACATTAAATTGTATAGAGCAAAACTTACAGGTAATAGTTTCTATTTTCCTTTCAGTTTCTTCCTTTTCATTTTAAGCTAAAAAGAAAAAAAATAAAATTAATAATGACTTTTCCCTTAATAAATGAAAAAGTAATGACTGTATTGCATTTTGGAACTTTGTTTTGAAATATTTTTATTTGAAAGCTCAGGAATAATAAATTCATCATGTTTGTTGATGTATTCTGACTTTTAATGATGGTTGGTTTCTCTTTTCCCCCTCAATCCTCTTAAACAGATTTCAAATGCTACAGATGATTGTAAACCAAAGCTCTTTCATTTCTCCAAAGAGGTGTGTAAGTTATTAACAGATACTTTTGGTTGATTTTTCACATTTCAAGTTTTAAGAGATTTGTGTAACAGGGTCTCTTAGGTCTTTGTACCTGTAACTAATTAATTTTCATGAAAGTGCTAAGTATAGGGTTGCCTACCAGAAGAATAATATTATTTAACACAGGGTGGCCCATTATGAAACAGCCACCTTTTTTTTTCCTTTTTTTTTTTGGCGTGCCTTTAAATGGAGCCTGTTTTAAATGGGCCACTGCCTAAAAGAACAGATTTACTAAATGTCTGGTCTGGCCAATAAGGTCCTCTGTGGATACAGACTTCCTGTTGCCCTCTGGACTTGTAAAGCTAAATAGCCAATTATGTCAAAAACTCCTCCCTTGTGAGTAGAACCTTGGTCTGTAGCTAAACAGCCTCATCATTGGACCAGCAATTGAGCACTGCCAGTATGTCTTCTGGCTGACATTCTAAAGTTGAAATTTATGATGCCTGCAGTGGAGACTGCATGACCAAGCCCTCTTGCCTTCTCTGAGAGCTCTAGGATACTGGAAATGCTTGCAAGGACCCCTGAGCATTCAGGTGATCTCTACTTTGCCATTCTAGAAGAGCTAGAAGTCTTCCCCGTTGCTGCAGGTTTCTTCATCTACAGTTTTTGATTTTACTGAAATGCAGGTTCCAGATACTAGAAGCCCCTCCACTCATGTCCAACTCTATTATTGTAGCATGTCAGTGTGGGAACTCCGTCATGCAGAATTTTCCTTTTTATTCCCAGTTTTTACATGAGAAATGCCTCTCTGGACCCACAAGGGAGGTTACACATCTTTTACATGGTAAAGGCCTCCATGCGTCTTAAAGATCTAGGTAGGGTAATTGACAAGCCAGGAAATTGAGCACTATATGAAAGAGAATTTGTGAATTAACTCTTATTCCCCTAATCCAACCTCAGGAAACACTATAGCTTTCCCTCCTCCCGGTTCCTTTCAGATATTTTAGGAGGTATTATATTCCAAGATAGGTGTTCAGTCATCTGGAACTTCTTTTGCCAAAGAGTCTAAAGTTAAAGGATATGTTTTTAGAGTAAAGAAAAGAAAGTAAATCACCACCATCCATTTTGTAAAGACAGTATTTTCATTTAGATGGTAACTTTTGTTTGCCTTGTAACTATCCCTGGCTCTTAAGTATTCTAATTAAAAAGAAAAAAACAAGTTTGTGTATTCTAGTGGATCCCTAAGAATTTGTCAGTCTGAAATAAATCAGGTTCATTTTCATTGAAAGAGACCTTAGTCAAAGATGCTAAGATGTGATTAATACTTTCAGTATTCCTTAGATTAAATTGGTGATATTCCCTTGGATTGAGTTGATGAAAGAGGTTCAAAAGCATTAATGATTATTGCTGCCTAGGGTAATAAGTTATATTTAAGTTTCCTAATGCATAAAGAAAAATTGAGAATTACAATGCGATTTCTAAAATGTTATTATTTTGAATCTTACCTAAATATTATTTATCTCACTTAAGTTATTTTTATCATACTCAAATAATGTAGAAGCAGCCGTGATTATAGTGTAAGTAACGTGCTGTAGAAGCCAGACAAGAAATACCTAACTAGTACAGGCAATCCATCTATCAAGGAAAACGTTTGCTGGTGCCCATAATTGTGTCTATCCAAAAACAACAGCAACAACAACCACCTTATTTTATAGACATGATTTCTAAAAAAGGAAATAAATTCAACCAAATTGATTTTTTAATGAAAAACTGAGCTTATTCTCAAATGCAGTAGTGGTTTCAATAGAGTTACATTTAATAATTTTGTCTTTTAAAATTTTTTTCAGAGTGCTTATGCCGTACCAACCATGGCTTTTTCATTTCTCTGCCATACCTCAATATTGCCCGTATACTGTGAACTCCAGAGGTACTATAGAAACCTGGAATATTTTAAATGTATTAAGTATGTCTTTTTACTTCTAAGGCTTTGATATCGAATGACATTCTTCTTTATGAATCCTTCTCTCCCTCACTGGATTCTAAGTGTTAGTTTAAAACAAAACGAAACAGAGAGTGAGTTCTATCCAAGTTGAAAATGTTTCCTGGAAGCATAATCTTTGTGCAGTAATTTCAAATCAGGAATTCTAGTGTGTTATTAATGAAATAGATCTTGAATGATTAAGGAGTCCTCTTGACTATGTTGGTAGATATTTGCTTCTATAGATATAATTCATTTCACTGATTCTACTCTTGCCATTTTTTGTCTTTTAGTCCTTCAAAGAAAAGAATGCAGAATGTAACCAATACAGCAATTGCTTTAAGTTTCCTCATTTATTTTATATCTGCACTCTTTGGGTACCTCACTTTTTATGGTAAGTATATTATTTAATTATAGATGACAAAAGAAATTGTTCTATAGTTGATCTCACACTTGACTGTGGGCTTTGTTTCTGCCTTTCATTAGTAAGTTAATTTGCTCAGGCAGCCAGAATTAACTGCATTACCATGGTGGATCTACAGGCCTTAAAGAATTGATATGCTTTCTCTTATAAAGGTAGATCAAGTTCAAGATTAATAACTTTATATGAAAATCTTCTTGAACATCTGATTAAAATCTCAGGCTTAAGGACGTTGATATCTTTCTACAAGAAAAAAATGTGCAATACTGATTTTATTTTTAAAAATATTTTAGAATAAATTTTATTTTTGATACATTAGACTCTAGTTCAGCAGTTTGGGAAGTTGGGAGAATAAGTCATCTTCACTGCAAAAGAACAAGTTGAGAATGGAAAAGGTTTTATGCTGGACTATCGCAGTACATGTAGAAGACAGAGATCTCTGCCTTCAGCCTTAATCCACACAATCCATCGATGCGCATTATGTGACGCACTGTGACCTTTCTCCTTATGTTTTTTTAAAGGATTCTTTTAAATTTATAAAATACAAGTAAATTTTTTTTTACTTATTTTTGAAAAATTGTCTTCTTGATATGTTTTTTTTTCTCTTCTGATAAGAACCTCAAGAAAAAATAAAACCTAAAAAAGTCTAGAATAAGAAAAAACTGTAAGCTATGTTGTTTAGTTTGCAAACAAATACATTATAACAAATTATACTCAATTTGTCAAACTCTTGAATACACTTTTCAGTTTATGAATGCTTTTATAACAACTCCAAGTAAATGGCTGTTACTATTTTGGTGAGAGCTGTTCCAACTCTGATTTCACGGCCGATGCCTTGTTTTAGGTTTTAGACACCCATGGTGACTTATAATGGCACTTTGTTTATCTCTCAGAGTTTGTCCACATCTGGCTCCTTTTGGGACAAATTTACATGCACAGTTACCTTTCCTAAACCTGGTAGAAAGAGCATAGATTTTGAAATCCAACAAGTATGGTTTAAATAACTACTGTGCTCCAACCAGCTATGAGACCTTGAACAGGATACTTGCAGTGCCTTCATCTCCTAATCTGTAACACAGGAATAACTGCATAGAGTTGTATCAAGGAGGAAATCGATTATATGTAAAATGCCTATTATAGTATTTGTCACATCGCAGTCTTCCACAAAGAGCTACTGCTGATGGTATGTTACTATTATTATTATCATTATTATTATAATTATTTCATAATTACAGGTGCTCTATTTTTCAGCTCTGTACTTCTTACTATCTTTAATGAAATTTAATTTAAATATGGTAACTGTTCAGTATATGTGGTGAGTATTATCTTGGAGTTTTCAGTGTGTGAGAAAATTATAATTGCTCTGCATAGTCCTTTTCTTGCTATCTCTATATTATTTCAACCGTTATAAAGACCATGTATTAATCTAAATTTGCTATTGCACTTCTATACTGGTGTAGGATAGGAGTGGTAGCGCTCTGTGTACACTCTCAGGAAAAGCATTATTTCCAACATGAGCATGGTACCCTGCTGCATACATGACAAAGAAAGTTAAAACAGATTGTTAAACTTTTGATCATCTCTAATGAAACAAAATTCTTGAAATACAAAGCTCTATTTTTGGTTGTTGGGTTTGTTAGTTTTTGTACAAACTTGAGCTCAGTCAGACTTTTTTTTTATATCAATAAGATACTATGGTAGGGTCTCCATTGGGATTCAGCAAAAACAGTATAACAAGAAACCTCAGCTGGCCTATGGCTTTCCAGGATAGCTGAGAAATAGTTATATAAATTATCGTGAGCTGCTTAGGAGCTGTATTAAATTGTAAGACGGCTTAGATCGAAAGGGAGGTGGAGGAAGGATAGATACTAATACAGTTATTGAGCTAACATTTGTTATACAAGTGCCAGGTATTTATTTACAGTGCCTAGCTTAATCCTTACAACAACTCTGCAAGTCTAGGTTCATCTAAGTTGAGTAATTTGGCCAGATACCTGCAACTAATGAATAATAAGTTGGGATTTGAATCCAATTCTGACTCTCTCTGAAGTCAATGCCTTTATTACTGTGCTGCCTCCTCAGGAATTAATAGATTCCAGATTTCTGTCGTTCTAAGTTTTTGTGAGGTTTTGGAAAAACCTGGCTTGCTATAGCTCCATGCATATCCCTGTCTGTCTGTCTGTCTGTCTGTCTGTCTGTCTGTCTGTCTGTCTGTCTATCTGTCTATCTACCTACCTACCTAGGTAGATAGATAGATAAAGAAAGGAAAGAAATTTCTTCTCCAAAGACAGAAGATTGAGATAGTGATTTGCAATTCACACTGGCTTTTTTGGGGGGTGAGGGGTGAGGTGTTAATCATAACCATGGAAAATCTTTTATGGTATATTTCTTATATGAACAATAGTAGCTCTAATTCTATGGAAAGAAAAAAATTGCTAATTGAGTCTGAGACCTTAATCAAAAAGGCTTATTGCAAATTAACGCCTTCAACTGATTTTATAGATGAACAGCTACAGCCTAAAGAGGTGAAGTAACCTGTTACAATTGATGACAGGTCTCCTGTATTAATCCAGTGATCTTTCCACTGCTCTGTGGTAATCTTTATAAACTTCGTACCCAGTTTGATAATGGGTGTTAAACAGGACAGCCTCCTGACTACAATAGCAGATACAACTTGCAGAAATCGCCTCCAGGTCCTTACTGAGATTTGTAGAGATTTGTCTGAATCCAGAGAAGTGTATTGTACTCTATTCCTTACATATGTTAAGACTCAGCTAAGAACACAGAACTGACTGGTTTAGGAGGAAAGTTTTAATCCTGGGAGAATAGAAAGTAGACATGTAACATATTTTGAATATGTAATAAATCTAGTTCTTCAGGCTTCTCGAGCTGTTTGGGATCCTTTCATCCAGTGTTCTCAAAGCTTAGTTAATACTTAAATTTTATCAGATTAAAGGGACCTGTATGTACCTGGATTACTAATATTGGCTCTGATTACAGATGTTAAAGCATTATAAGGTGAGGAAAAAAAGGCATTCCTCTGGTGATCCAGGCCAGTTCCCAGATGTTGCATAATTACCAAACCATTTTAAAATCTATGAGGTTGTTATGTAATAAGTGTTAATAGCTCATTTTTCTAATTCAGAAAATGGAAATAAAATAGTTTACCATATTTCTCCTAAACTCACAAGTTTCTCACAGATTTGGGAATATAATCTAGCTTTAATCTCCTACTTAGTCTATAGTCCCACATTGTGTAAAGTATGTCTTTGATAATTTAGACCATTTCTCTCTCATTTCCATTATCTCTAGTCTAGTTCAGATTCTCATTACCTCTCACTAGGCTTCTAACTGTTTTTTCTGTTTTGAGTCTCTTTTTCTTCCAAACTGCCCTCTTGCTTAATTCAGATTATAATATTACCATTCTTCATAGGTCATTGCATCTCTGTGGCCTACCAGACTGAGTCCAAACCCTGCGAAGAGTTCCATTGCTGGGTCTTAAATGCCTTTCCAGCCTCATCACCCACTACTCTGTGCTACAGCATACTCTGTTTCAGCCACTGTAGTCTTGCCGGACTACTCATTTTCTCAGATGCATATTCTCTCTACTACTTCAGGGCATCTGCCTGTGCTGGTTCTTCTTAGAGAGAATCTCTTCGCCCACATCTTTCAGTCTCAGCACACATACCTTAACTCACTTAATGCTCTCAGTAACTCTGTAGGTCAATATATTATTGTTTCCATTTTACAGATGTAAGAACTGAGAGACTCAGAGAAGTTAAGTTGCTTTTAAGTAGTAAGGTTTGAACATTAGTCCAGAATTCAAGCCCCCTACCATCTTGCTGCCCACTGGGCTTCCTTCTTGCTTATCCCAAAGCCATAGTTGTCTTTTGCTGTTCAGAATCACCATAGCTCTTTATTTAGACCTCCTTCTGCCACTTAAGTGTATCTGTGTTTATATACTATTATATCAGTGTGTATTCACCTTATCTCCCCCTTTAAATTTTAAGATCCTTGAAAACAGAGCATTTCCTCCAAAGCATCTTTTTCCAAATGTATACTCCCAAATCCAAAAAGCACCATTCTTTTAAAAGTGTAAACTGATCTTTCTGTACAGGCAATGATAAGCAATGTTCTTGAATTCCCTCACTCTTATACCCCTCGTCGGCTTGGAGTATGGAAGACATTGTGAGAATGGAAGAGCACCTCAGAGCAAATCATGGTCAGCTCGTACAAACTGCCACTGACTATCACATTGGCTTGCTAAGTGAGCCATTGCCCTAAAACTGCGTTCTCTTTTATGAAAGGTGAATTTATAGATGAAATGTTGATGAAGAAGGTAACGTGTGTACAATTCTAGAAAACATGTGGTATTAAGGAAAAGGTATTAGCCTTGGCACCGGATAAATTTGGGTGTACAGCTCTGCCAGCTCTGCCCCTTTGTGTTGCGTGATCCTAGGCAAGTCCTTTAGTATTTTTTAGCCTGGCCACCTATCTTATAATACTGTTATCATATGGACCAAATTCAGTAGTACATGTGAAAACACTTTACATAATGAAATAAATGTTCAAAACCTTCATATTATGGTAAAATTCTATAGAGATTATTTTTATACATGTTTTATTGTTGTAATTTCAGAGGTTCTGCCTGTGCTGATTTCTAGTTTCATCAAAAGAAAAGACTGGCGGTTTCAGAAAGATATTTAACTAATGTCTCTGTGTTTCGTAAGATAGACAAAAGGCCAGAGATTGATTGGATATGGGGACCCAAAATCTGTTAAGATCCATTTATGCAAAGGAAAATAATTTTGCCATTATTGACATCTTAGGAGTTTATAATGTGATCTTATTGTTATTTTTTCAAATTTACAGATGAAGTGGCATCAGATATACTACAAGGTTACAGTAAATACTTGCCACATGATGTTGTTGTCATGACTGTGAAGTTATGCATACTATTTGCTGTGCTTTCGACAGTCCCTTTAATCCACTTCCCTGTAAGTACTCTTAAAGGTTTTGTTGCTTAGTGTAGCAGCTCCCTAATGTGGCAACACTAATTCTTTGCAGGCTAGAATGTTTGAATCACATTTAGTCTTGTGTATCTTATTCATTTGTCAAGTAATTGATCAAAGGCCTCATACTTGCATATGGTCCCATGAAAGCATAAAAATAACAGTGAACCACTAAGCTAATTTGTGCTTTTTGAGATTTAGTTTAGATTTATGCTTTCCCACAGCATTGTTTCCAATTTAGAGACTATAGTTCTTCTAAAGTTTTGGGATTCACCCCCCCGCCCCCCTCCCACCGCTTAAATCCGTATTCTGTTTTCAAAAGAATGTGCATGGGGAGGAAAAAGTAAAGTCAGCAAAAATATGTTCTTTCTGGTTTATTGTGAATTTATTTTTACATAGACATTATAGTTTAATCTTAGTCAAACTATTTTATTTGCTCTAGAATTATAATTTAAGGGGCAGAACAGATCTTCATTCTGCGTTTCATTGCCATATGTAAGAATCTTAAGAATTTCAGAGAGAATGGAAACAAAGGCTTTGGGTATAAATGCTTCTGCATGGATGTCTTGAAGTCCTAAACAGTGAGTTCCTTAAGAGCGGAGCCTTCAAGATTTTTTCTGCCTTCTCCCTGTGCAGACTGCGGTGCCAGGAGTGCAGCGGGGGCTGAGTAAACATTTGTGGGATGTGACCGCCTGCTGCCTGCCTTAGCAGTGGGAAGTGTCATGAACTAGTTTTCATATTTACATGCAGTAAATATGAAACAGATAATACAAAATAAAATAATAAATGGTGTTTGTTTCCCATGGCATGATTTCTTCTTCCTTTTTAAACCTTTTGTTGTTCTATCTATTGAATTTAATAAAAACAGTTCCCCGAGACTTCATCGCACAGTGTTATTGTTGTTAATTTTGAAAATTATACAACCTAAAGAAATTGCATGTGAAAAATTTGTGAAGAATTAAAGTAAAATAATTCTATGAAGCTCACACAGAAATATATATTTCTTAGTTTATGTTTAATAAACACTTTATGATAATAGTTTGTTATATTTTTGGAATTTAAATGGTTTAGGGTACAAAACTGTCATAGTTACTGTACTATACATGTGTTTCCCTAAGTGAGTATTTTGGCTTTGACACTTTCTCTCTGTTTTTCTTTATGTTGTACAGGCAAGAAAAGCTTTTATGATTATGTTTTTCTCCAATTTTTCATTCTCATGGATTCACCATTTTTTGGTCACTCTAGCATTCAATATTATCATTGTTTTACTTGCAATATATGTTCCTGACATTAGGAATGTATTTGGTGTAGTTGGTAAGTTTTCTATTTCAAAAAATCCACATACTAAAATGGATAAAATTGTCATCTAGCCTCACATCAGAATCTGGCAATCACCCTCTTTTTCTCCCACTTAAAGGTTCCAGTACATCAACGTGTTTGATTTTTGTATTCCCAGGACTGTTTTATCTTAAACTTAGCAGAGAGGATTTTCTCTCCTGGAAAAAGCTTGGGGTAGGTTGATTTTGTTTGTTTCTTTTAAGAATCCTACTTTCAGAATTAATTTGCATTTTATAATTATTTTATCTACATCAAGAAAGTTAATGTATTTTGAACTATGACATATAATTATTGGGAAGGGTGGAGGTTTGAAAAATATTCTAATTGTTTTTTATCTTTTTCTGTATTTTTACAGGCTTTCGTTTTGCTCATCTTTGGAATTTTGGTTGGGAATTTTAGTTTAGCACTCATCATTTTTAATTGGATTAATAAATGAAAGGTGTATTTTCCCACATCTTATGAAGAATAATTTACCTCCATATGCAAAAAGGAAAAATTCCGGAAGACACCTTGGAAGAATCCTCTTTATGCGGGTTAACATTTTGTAAATGTATTAACAGAAAAGTGGAACAAAATGGGAGTGGGTAGGGGAAAATGGGCTCACAGCAGTTTTAATCAAAATAAGAAACAAACTCAAAATGCCCTTAAATATATTAGGTCAACCTTTTGTTTGTTTATTTGTGGGTCTATTTGTTTTTAAATTAATGGACTCTATTTTTTAGGGTAGTTTTAATGTTTACAGAAATATTGAGCAGTAAGTACAGAGTTTCCATATAATTCTTTCACCCCTAACACAACCATAGTTTCACACATTATTAATTATTTTCCAGAATTAAAGCAAAATAATTTTATTAACACCTTGAATTAGTGTGGTACATTTGTTATACTTGTTGAGCCAATATTGATACATTATTATTAACGAAAGTCCATAATATACATTAGACTTCACTCTTAATGCAAGCTTTAGCAATCAACAATTGTTACTATCTTCATAAAAACTTTTCCAGAATGTCATATAGTTGGAATCATGTAGTATCTAACCTTTCAGACTGGCTTCTTTCATTTAGCAATATGCAGTTAAGTTTCCTCAATGTATTGTCATGGTTTGATAGCTCATTTTTTTTTATCACTGTATAATATTCCATTGTATGGATGTACCACAGTTTGTTTTTCCATTCATCTGTTGAAGGACCTCTTGGTTGCTTCTAAATTTTGGCAGTTTTGAATAAAACTGCTATAAACATTTGCGTGCAGGTTTTTACATGGACGTGTTTTCAGCCTCTTTGGGTTAATACCAAAGAGCACAACTGCTGCATCATGTGGTAAGAATAAGAATATGTTTAGTCTTATAAGAAACGCCAAACTGCTTACCAAAGTGGCCATAACATTTTGCATTCCCACCAGCAATGAATGAGAGTTCCTGTTCCACATCCTGATCAATGTTTGGTGTTGTCAATGTTTTGGATTTTTGCCATTCTCGTGGGTGTGTAGTTGTATTTCATTGTTGTATAAATTTATATTTCCTTGTGGCATATGATGTTGAGCACCTTTTCATATGCTTATTTGCCATCTGTATATATTCTTTTTTGGTGAAGTTCAGATCCTATGTCCATTTTTTAAATTGATATTTAATTATTATTCCATTTGATATTTGTTTTCTCATTATTGAGTTTTAAGCATTCTTCGTATATTTTAGATACCAGTTCTTTATAAGATAAGTGTCTTGCAAAGATTTTCTCCCAGTCAGTGGTTTGTCTTTTCATTCCCTTAACAGTGTCTTTCACAGAGCAGAAGTTTTTAATGTTATTAAATATATTGAGTCAATCTTTTGTTTGTTTTTTACGAAATCGGTTTGTTAAGCTTATATAAAAATTGAATCTCAGCTTGTGGGTTAATATTGTCAACATTAATTACTAATAACAAAACTGTGGGATTATTCCATTTGGTATTTTGCCCTGCCTCCAAATCTTATCTAAGAATCTTTTGTGATTTTTTTCTCTGTTGTTCATTATGAGAAAGAGCTGTGATGATTGGCTATGGATTTGTAAGTTCCCTGAGCTTTCTTTTTTTGTCACTAAAACATGTGACTTTCTACTTGGCAAACAGACAAATATTGATGATTTATGTCATTTTTTGTTTGGAGGTTATAAATTATTCCAGACTTCCCATTGATGTGGCTTCTGGTTGGAAACTAGAAGCTAAGTCTCCCCTCTCCGTGAATATTCTGTGTAAAGGTCACTGTTACCAGCCTACCAAAGCCAGAGTGTATCAGTAAAATGTAATCCCACCCCTGTGCACATGTAAAGTAGGGAATTGCATGCAAAGTTCCAATTTGCATGTATGGAAATGAACACTTTTGCAGGTGCCCGCTTGCTTCCACATAGGAAATGGGCTGAAAATTTGACAACTGAGCTTCTCTTTTGAGTTAAGATACTTATTTGGCAACTTGACGTTAGCGTAGTATAATGGAGAAAATCCCAGTTTGGGAGTTAGAAAGATTCAAATCTCAGTGAGTTTAGGCAAACTGCTTAAACTTTCTAAGCTTCCACTTTCACATAGGTATTAGATGGAGTTAATACCAATTTACAGGTTTGTGTTGAGAGGATTAAATGACCTTGTATAAATTAGGTACAGACCAAAACAGGCTTCCTTAATAGATTAGATATATATCCCCTTTCTCCCATCCCTCCTGGAACAGTAAAATGAATTTGCTTTCAATCCAGGGCATAGAATTTCTTCATCTTCCATCTTGCACAACTAATGTGTTTAGAATCTTTCTCCTGCTTTTACTCACAGGGGAACTGGTCCCCTGTGCACTCTTTTTAGTGCTTTCCCACAGTTCTACCCCAGCTGTACTCTCCTACTATTGTCTTCCTGAAACTGGGCTCTTAGCATGGCCCCAAGGGCAAAGCCAGGCATGGCCTCCCATGTGGCTTCACATCAGCCAGACCCATCAATCTGATAAACTCATTCTTGTACTCTCTTTTTATGAAATTATAGATCCAAATAGAAATAGGTGTTCAGCTGCTTAAATAAATCTAACTTCAGTAATACCAAAATAACCCTAAATCTGCAACAGATGCAACGATGCCCCTAGGGCAAATGTTAAGTGTGATGACAGCTGGGCATCAATTAATACATTTGTCACCTGCTCATAGGATAGGATCATGGGAAGTTTGGCAAAGGGACAAGTAGCCTATTGAATGCTATGTACAAAACTTAGTTACTATCAAGAGAAATCATTTGTGGAGGTGTTTATTTGTATTTTACTTTAATATTCCACCTTATCTGGTTGGCTGTTTA